ATTTCTCTTTGTGCTTCACTACTTATACTGTTTACAATCTTTGATTTCTTTCTGTTACAACTGTTGCAAGTGGACAATTAGTTGTGCTGACGTGGCCTCCTCTTGTAAAACTGATTAACTACTTTCTGTTGGTCTGTTCCAGTAGTCTTTACAATCCCCCCCTCCTTTAGAGCGACCTTGCCCTCGAGGTCTAATGTGGGAAAATTTGGTTGCAAATCTAAGTAGGATTCTCAAGTTGCATCCTCTTTTGGGAGTTTAGATCAAGCAACTAATGCTTCTTGTATGACTCTTCCACCCTGGCGTACCCATCTGAAATTAATGATGCGGGCTGGCTCAGTCTGCACTTGTTCTTCATCTGAAAATGTGGGAAGGGTCGCACTTGTAATGACTCCTGGCTTCAGCCCTTTCTTCAGTGAGGAGATATGGAATACAGGGTGCAGTTTTGATGTTGCCGGAAGGTCCAGCTTGTAGGCCACTGACCCTATTCTCTCAAGGATTTTAAATGGTCCAAAATAGTGCGGGTTGAGTTTGTTCCACTGTCGGCTTGCAATTGAAATCTGTCTGAAAGGTTGTAATTTGAGAAACACCCAATCATCGACTTCATATTGGACATTCTTGTGATGTTTATCATAGGAGTGCTTCATCCATTCCTGTGCCTGTAAGAGATGATGTCTTAGTTCCTTAACACCTCATCTCGTTGCGTCAGCTGTTCTTCTAAGGCCGCTACTATGGTGGTCCCTTTTTCATAAGGAAGTAGAGGGGGAGGGTCCCGACCATATAGAGCTTTGAAGGTTGTCATCCCAACGGCGCTATGGAAAGTGGTGTTGTACCACCATTCAGCCCAGTGGATCCACTTCACCCATTGTCTTGGTCGATCTCCCGCGAAGCATCTCAGATATGTTTCGAGACTCTTGTTAACCACCTCTGTCTGTCCATTAGATTGGGGGTGGTAGCTAGTTGACTTGAAGAGTTTAACCCCGGGCAGGGGAAAAAGCTCAGCCCAGAAACGACTCAAAAAATAGGGTCCTAGTCTGATACAATTGAGCTGGGGAGCCCGTGTAGGCGCACAATTTCCCGGAGGAACAATTCAGCAACTGTGACTACAGTAAATGGGTGTGATAGAGGTAGGAAATAGCTGTATTTCGTCAATTTATCCACTACCACAAGGATAATTGTTTTGCCGGTAGAAACATGCAATCCTGTGATGAAATCCATTGATATATCATCCCAGACTTGGGTTGGTATTGGGAGTGGTTGCAAGAGGCTTGTTGGTGTTGTAGTGGCTTGTTTTGTTGGCACACCTGACTATGAAGTTTTGGATAGATGTACGCATGCCTTTCCAATGGAATTGTGTGGCGATGCATTTTTGTGTTCGTAGGATGCCGGAGTGGCCACCTATGGGTGGGGCATGGAATAATTCCAGGAGCTTCCTAAGATGAGTAGAATCTGCCGGAATTTCCAGGTGTCCTTTGAAGAAGAGTAGCTCATTCTTAATGGTGTACCCGGGGTGCAGTGAGGGATTTGCCAATACTTGGGCCTTCAACTACTATAACTCCCTATGGGATTGGGCTTCTTTTCGAAGTAGATCCAGGAGTGGAGAAGTTGGGGAAGATACTAGTAACTGAAATGATTGTGGGTGCCATGAGAGGGCGTCA